CGGCAGAATTAAGCCACAAAAATATACAGGAAGGCATTATCACGCGAAATGAGCATGATATTCGGGATCAGCAAGTCGAATAACCCCCTTGTAGAAATTTCCAGGATTTCTATAATTCTAACCCCCATCTACCTATCGTAACTTTGCGAAAACGTCTTGGAACACAAGGAGAGCATGATATCCGTGATCAGCACGTGGAAAATCCCCTCTCTACTGAAACCCAGCCAAAAAGATTTTGTCCCCTTACCGCAAACTTACCGTAACCATGCAAGAACGTCCCATGCGAGAGAGTACGATATTCGCAATCAGCATGTGGATTACCCCCCTCCTAGGCCAAGTTTAGGCAAAATTCGTGATCTTGAACCCCTACCGTACACCCACCGTAACCTCAGAATATGGCACTCCGCGCAAAGTTAGAATGATATTTGGTATCAGGGGGTTGAATAACCCCCTGGACCAAGTTTGAGTTAGATCCACGATAAAAAAATTTGACGTCCGGATAGCCGAAAGCGCCCACGTTATTCCACTTTCACCCAATGAAAAGCTGATCTGTGAAAAATAATCAGCACTTCTGGTCTGCATTTTTGTAATCCAAGGAAAAGTCCACAGGGCAGCAATGTGACTTTGCAAGCCTCCTTTTCCAGATCAGTAGATAAAGAGAACTATGGCGAGCTGAGATTTCGCTGTCGCTGGGTATTGCGCTATGCAGAAGCGCCCATTGACCCGAAAATTTGGCGAAGTGAAGGTGCACATATTCCCATGGCAATATGGCACAACACTAGCCATGTTGCACCAGTCAATCATACATCGAAAAGCATCATACAGCCGCTAAAGGTGAGCAAAAAATTTCTTTTCGAGTAATTCTGAAATTGTTTTTAGGTCGTGGGTATGAGTGTGCACCAAGTTTTGCGGTTTACTCCAAATGCTGATGCATTCCTAGTCCCACCGCAGACAGCAGTCGTAAGGTATGTGTGCAAAAGGCATACGGTCTCTTCTGTATTTGAGTTGCGAGGAAGTGAGGACGGTAGAGCAGGAGAGGGGAAGGGGTGGAGGAGGGAGGAGGGATAGAGAGAAGAAAGAAAGGAGCGCAAGGACCCGAATACTTTGGACTGCTTTTATACTTCTAAAATTCCTACTAGCCATGTCATTTACCTTGATATCCAAATCATTTTCCTACGGAGGAGATAATCAGGTTCCACTTGCATCTTGTAAAACATTTTGAAACGTCACCACCTAGAGTTAGGATTGTGAGATTCTGCGGTGGAAAAATGAGGTCCATGACTGAAACCCTTGCCCAAATTTTGCTGATAAAGGTGAAATTCGGAGCGAGAAAATTGCTTCAAAGGCAGATGTGGCGGAGGCAACTCCGCCCATCAACATGGGTATTCTACAGGTGCGGACCCCCAGGTGACTACAAGCTACATAGAAATGTT